CGTCGCCCCACGCCGCCGAGGAGCGCGCGGCGTTCGGCCCCGCGTACGACGACGAAAAATACGAGTGGCGCACGGACGAGTCGGGCGAGTTCGGCGGCGGCGCGCACATGGTGTCCTTCTCCAACGACCGCACGCTCGCGCGCCACCAGCTCAGAGAGCTCAAGCTCGACCGGTGGATCGACAAGCAGACGCGCGAGGTCGCGGCCGTGACGACGTTCTTCAACGGCAACTCGCGGCTCTTCGTGGTCGTGACGCTGCGCGTGCTCCTCGGCGAGACGGGCCGCGTGGCGACGTCCATGGAGATCCGGAGCTTGAGGTTGGAGAACTTCGTGAGCGCGGGCGACTTCGCGCGCGTCGTCTTCGAGGTCCTCGCGCTCGCCGGGGCGGGACAAGAGTGCGACATGCCCAACGTTGGAGGCTCCTAGCTCGACCATGTTCCACTCGTTTCGGCTGATGTTTGGACGAGCGATCATCTCTCGGAGCGCTCTCGAAGCGCAGACGCTTTTCCCGGAACGCGCGCGCGCGGAACACTCAAAGCGAACTTGAATCGCTCTGTTCCTGCCCAGGCGCTCGCGCTCGGCGTCGCGCACACGTGCGAGGAGGTCGCGGAGGCGCGCGACTACGGCGCGAAGATCTACCTGAGCTCCTGGTTCAACCTCTTCAACCTCGTGCGCCAGGGCCTCTTCTACGCCATCGCGCTCCTCTATTTGCGCCTGTCGCTGCACCCGCTGAAGCTCCGGACGCGGGAGCTGCCCGCGGACGACTTCATCAACTTCCCCGAGCTCGCGAAGATCGAGGACGAGTACGTTTTTTGTAGTGGGATTTTCATCCTTTTTAGCGTGCTCATCATGTTCAAGTATTTGTGCTCCTTCCCGAAGCTGGGCATCCTCGTGCACACGACGGTGCAGGCGGGCACGGACCTGCTGAACTTCTTCCTGCTGCTCCTGTTCCTGCTCGCGGGCTACATGCTCATGGGCCACGTCATCTTCGGCCACGTCATGGCCGAGTTCTCCAGCGTCGCCGCGGCGTCGAACACCGTCGCGCTCATGGCGATCATGGAGGGCCCCCTGTTCGCGCGCCTCGTCGACGCGAGCGGCTGGCTCCAGGCGACGTTCTTCTACTGGACGTTCGTCGCGCTGATTACGATTATTTTCCTCAACATGGTGCTGGCGATCATCTTCACGGCCTACGACTCGCTCCAGGAGGCCATCGACTCCGCGTCGACGATCCCGATCGGCGGCGACGTCGCGCGGTCCCTGATCCTGGGCCGCGAGCCGACGTTCGAGGAGATGGCCATGTCGCCGGGTGAGCTCGCCATGCAGGTGGGGGGCGTGCGGCAAATCCAGCGGCGCCTGCGGCGCGCGTCGCCCGTCTTCGCCGCGGGCGACGACCTCGCCGGCGCCGCCGCGGCCTACGTGCCGCGCCGCGAGCGGACGCTCCGGGTCTCGCGCGCCAGGGGCCTCGACCGCCACAACTTCAGCGAGCTCGACCTGCTGGCCATGCTCGACAAGTCCTTCGACTACCGCTTCACGGGCAAGCTGTCGCGGACGCTCGAGAACTACGTCGACGCCGCGAAGCGGCGCGTCGCGCACCTCCGGGGCCTGCCGCACGAGCCGGACGACGACCGGTCCGTGGACGTCTTCGAGTTCTGCTACGTGCTCCACCTCATCGACGACGAGGACGACGACGTCGACGTCGGCACGGCGTCCGCGGAGACGTTCCGCCTCGAGGAGGCCACGGAGGAGATGGCCATCGCGAAGCTCTGCTTCGACTTCTACGCGTACACGCCCGAGACGCCGCCCGCGGAGGTCGGCTTCCGCAAGCAGACGAGCAAGCGCCTCAAGCGCATCGAGGAGAAGCTCGACGCCCTCGCGGGGACGCCGCCGCCGACGCCGCGGTCGCGCCGCGCGTCCGCGCGCAAGGCCGAGGACGACCGGCTCCGCGATCGCGCGGAGACGAAGGACGGGGGGGGCGACGTCGCCCTCGGCCGCGCGGCGGAGACGAAGCACGGAGCCCCCGGGGACCTCGTCGTGACGCCCCTCTAATTCGACGACCTGACAGTCGCGGGCCCCCGGACGCCCCTCTAATTCGAACAACTCACTCGCCCGCCTCGTCGTCGGGCACGGGCCGGGGCGCGCGCGGCGGGAGCGCGCGCGTCGGCGGCGGCGGCGCCGCGAGGCCCGCGCGGGCCGCGATGGCCTCGATCCAGTCGCGCTTCAGCGCGATGTCCTCGGGCGGCACGGCGAGGAGCCAGTTCCGCTCGCGCGTGACGAGCTCGAAGCGGCAGTAGGCCGGCGGCCACGCGCGCGCGTCGACGCGCGGGAAGTCGACGGTGAGGTGGACGACGTCGCCGAGGTTGAGCCGGTCCTTGCGGTCGTCGTGGTCGAAGTCGCGGTAGAAGTAGAGCATCTTCTTCTCGACGCTGCAGTGGTAGCGCCGGAAGGAGCTCGCGCCGCCGATGCCCCGCTCGCTCGACTCCTTGAAGAGCCAGGACGAGACGACGACGTGCGAGCTCCGGCACGTCGCGAGGTGCGCGAGCTCGTCGACGAGCGACCGGCACGTCGCGAACGCCCAGTCCGCGGCCTCGCCGGCGAGGTCCTCCGCGATCGCGGCACATGGCCGCGGACCGCCCGGCGTCGGCCTCCTGCCACTCGAGGAGCCCGAGCAGCGCGGTCCGCGCGTCGTCGAACGACGGCTCGACCTCGAGGCACCTCTGGTACGCGGCGATGGCCGCGGTCCACCGCGCGCGGCCGGTCCGCCGGTCCGGGTCCGTCAGGTCCGCCATGGCGACGTTGCCCTGGCGGTGGAGCTTCGCGGCCTCGTTGAAGAGGTCCGTCGCCGCGTTCCGGCGCATGGTCACGGTCTCGCGGCAGTAGGCCCGGTGCTCCTTGTGGTGGGCAACCTACGTTCGTGGATTCGGGCGGCGGCGCGTAGGCGAGGCGCACCTGGCATTCGCGCGAGCAGTAGAGCTTCTCCTTGCAGGAGCCGCACCGCTTCAGCGTCTTGCAGGCCTCGCCGCAGGCCACGCAGATCTGGAGCGGCATCGCGCCGGCGGCGGTGGCCACAAGGCGACTCCAGTCGACGGGGCTGCCTCTCCGTAAATCACGAGGATCGTGCCCTGCAAGGTTGGCTCGATCGAGGCGACTTAGCCCGCGCGGTCCGGCCGCAGGGCCTTGGGCCGGCGGTGCGACACGGTCAGCACGGGCGGCGGTTTCGGCGCCCGGAGGCGCGCCCCGGCGGCGACGAGGACGAGGGCCGCCGCGAAGCCCGCGGCCGCGTAGCCGACGTGCGCGAGCTCCGGGCCGCGCGGCGCGGGCGCGGGCGCGGGCCCGGGCTCGTCGCCGCCGTCCTCCGTCGCCACGCGGGGCTAGACCCACTCGTCGGCGGGCAGGCGGTTCCAGAGGCCCGCCTCGACGGCGAGGTCCTTGTGCGTCGGCACCTCGCCGAGGAGCTTCTTCGCGTGGTACTCGTCGCGGCTCCCGTGGTCCGCGCACCAGCCGGGCTTGTAGGAGATGAACTTGGCGTCCGGGTCGAAGTGGCAGTCGCGCTTCATGGGGAAGTTGTCGCAGTCCTCCTGCTCGCCCGGTGGCACCGCGTGCGGCAGGCCCCAGCACGTCGACACGTCGGCCTCGAGCTTCTGCAGGGCCTGGTACATGGACGCGGCGAGCGTCGCGTTCTTCTTGACGATGCTGTGCTCCTCGCCGGGGTCGCGGAGCAGGTCGAAGAGGAAGAGGCGGATCTTGTGCCTGTGCTTCTCGCGCTTCGCCTCCTTCTTCGCGTCCTTCTTCTCCTTCTTCTTCTCCTTCTTCGAGCTCCCGAGGGCGCGGCGGCCGTCGGCCTCGGAGACGATGTTCTTCTTGACGCGCTCGACCATGACCACGAGCTTGTGGCGCCCGCGGCGGAGCGCGCCCTTGAAGTCGCGGACCGGCCGCCGCGACACGTCGAGGTTGTGGAGCAGCTCGCGGTCCTCGAGCGCGGACTCGGGCCGGTCGCCGCTGAGCACGGGCCACAGGTCCAGGCCGTCGAGCGCGTTCCGCGGCGCGAAGGTCCCCGCGGGGTCCGCGCGGCCCACGAGCGTCGGGAGCCAGTCGACGTTCGCGGCGACGGCCCTGCGGAGCACGGCGCCCCGGCGCAGGCCGCCGCCGACGACGAAGGCGGGCACGCGGATGCCGCCCTCCCAGTAGTCGTGCTTCGCGCCCCGGAGGGGCCGGTTGCCGCCGCGGTCGCGGTCCGCGCGGTCGCTCGCGGCGCCGTTGTCCGACGTGAAGACGAGGATGTTGTCCTCGTGGGCCGCGAAGTGGGCCCGGCTCACGTTGCCGACGATGGCGTCGACGAAGCGGAACATGCCCCCGAGCACGCGCCAGGGCGAGTAGTAGCGGCCGTCGACGTCCGCGGGCGCGTCGCCGAGGTACGCGCGCGGCACCTGGTAGAGCGGCGCGTTCTTCGTGTCCGCCCCCGCGCGGCCGTCGATGCGCACGTTCTCGACGCCGTCGCTGTGGCCCTTGGACTCGTGGATGAGGTGCGGCGCGAAGTAGGTGAAGAGCGGCCGGTCGCTCCGCCGCCGCGCGAGCCGGTCCGCGAAGTCGCGGCCGATGAGCAGGTCCGCGTGGACGCCGTCGACGCCCGGCCCCGTGGAGTCGTCGCCGTCGCGGTGCCAGTCGTGGACGATGCGGTTGCTGAAGGACGTCGTGTGGTCGAACGCGTGCACCGTCGCGCAGTAGAAGCCGAGGTGGTAGTCGTAGCCTGTGTGGAAACCAAATCTTCAACCCGACTTCAATGTGCGCGTACGCGACAGTTTCGACGCAAGCTCTTCGGCTGTGCTTCGAGAACTCGACGAGAGCAATCGATCCGTCCAAAAATCAGCCGAATCGACTTCGATTTGACCGAGCTAGAGAATTCTCAAGTTTGGTCAGGACCACCCAAACCAGTGGTTGGTTTCCACACAGGTCGTAGCCGCGGCCGAGGGGCACGTGCGACGGCGCGTCGTTGCCCAGGTGCCACTTGCCGAAGGCCCAGGTCTCGTAGCCGACGCGCCGGAAGGCGTCGCCCATGAACTCCTCGGTCTCGGGCACGTGCGTGCCCTGGCCCATGCTGTAGCACGAGTGCTGCGCGCCGAAGCGCATCGGGTAGCGGCCCGTCTGGATCGCGCTCCGCGACGGCGCGCAGATCGAGTTCGTGTAGTACCACTCGAGGCGCACGCCGGCCCGGGCGAGCTTCCCGACCTCGGGCATGTCCGACGCGGGGTACTGGTCCGCCGCGCGCTTCTTGTCGTCGAGGCGGTGGTACGGCACGTCGTTCCAGCCGACGTCGTCGACGAGCACGAAGAGGATGTCGGGCCGCCGCGGTTCGTCCGCCAGGCGCCGGCGGGGCGGCTCCGGGGGGGGCGCGGCGCCGGCGGGGGGCGCGGCGCCGGCGTCTTCCCGGGGGGGCGCGGCGCCGGCGTCCTCCGGCCCGTCGGGGCCCGCCGCGCAGTCGTCGTCGTCGTCCGCGGCGGCGCCGTCGCTATCGGCCGCGTCGGCGCAGCAGACGGGTTGGGGCGGGTCGTCGGCGGCGGCGACGAGGCCCTTGCAGCGCGCCTCCGTGGCGTCGCGGTCGCGGTCGACGAGCTGGCGGAGCATGCCGTCGCGCCAGGACCGCTCGCACGCCGGCGGGTCCGGCGCGTAGCAGCCCGCGCAGGCCGTGGCGCTCCAGGCCCGGAGTGGGTTCAACCCGAGGCCGTCGGCGACGCCGCCCTTGAGCTCGGCGGCGGCGCAGAGCCGCGCGCCCGATGCCGCGCACGCGGACTCGGCCGCGCGCCACGCGCGGAGCGCGTCCGGCTTGGCGACGGCCGCGCGCCCCGCGCAGACGCGCGCCGCCGGCCCGCAGGCGCCCAGCGCCGGCGCCAGCGTCCGCACGTCCCAGCCCAGGGCCTCGCAGGTGCGCCGCGACGGCCGCGGCGCGGGCAAACCGTACGCGGCCCGGAGGACCTTTTCGGGGTAGTAGGACACCGTCGACGTGCAGCCGACGCGGCCCGGCCCGAGCGTGACGAGGCGCAGCACGTGGTTGTCGCAGTCGCTGACGACGATCTTGGACCCGGACGGCGACAGCGCCATGGAGTGGGGCCGCGCGAAGCGGACCTGGGCGGGAAAAGCGTGCGACATTCCCGACTTTGGCGGCGCCTCTCGCGGTCGTTTTCCACTCGTCTCGGCTCACTTTTGGACGAGCGATCATCTCTCGCAGCGCCCTCGACGCGTGGATGCGTTCTCTGGAACGATCGCGCGCGGAGCACTCACGTTGAAGCGAGCTCGAAGCGCGCTCGTCCCGCCCCGAAGCGGACCGCGGCGCCGCAGCCGTCGCGGAAGCCGCCCTCGTTGAGCGCCTGGAGCCGCCGCTTCGGCGGCTTGTAGGACGGCAGGGCCCGCAACGCGGCCTCGACGGCCTCGGCGGACGCGTTCGCGCGCCGGAGCCGCGCGACCTCGTCCGCGCCCGCGCGCTCGAGATCGCGGAGCCGCGCCGCGGACGCGGCGACCGCGCGCGCCAAGTCGCCCCGCGCGGTGCCGTTGTGCTGCTTGAGCGCGGCCTTCTTCGCCCGCGCCTTGGTCTTGAGCTCGGCCTGGGGCATGCCCGCGATGATGCGCGGCGGCGCGAGGCCGCCGTCGGCGCGGCGGAAGTCGACGGGGAAGTGCGCGATGCGGCCGCCCTGGATGCCTGGGCGGGAAACAACACTAGGCAACACGACTTCAATGCGAGCGTCATCGCACGGGTTCGACATGCGTGTTCCACTGGTTCGAAAGAACGCGACGAGAGAACACGACGCGTCCAAACATCAGCCGAAACGACGTCGATCGGACCGAGCTCGAGAGGTTCGAAGTGTTGCTGGACCGGTCCACGCCGCCGGTTGTCTCCGGCACGGCTGGATGCCCTTCATGGACGACTGGAGCGCGAGGAAGCCGCGGCCGCCGTCCCAGACGAGGACCTGGCGGTGGAACTTGTCGATGTGGGACCCGTTCTTCCGCGTCCAGGCCCGCAGCGGCGCGCCCGTGGCCTCGTCGTAGGCCCGGAGGCCCGCGTTGCCCGTGACGTAGACCGCGTCGACGGGTTCGCCGCCGCGGCGCGCGTAGAAGGGCCCGAAGGCGAAGGCGAAGGGGCCGAAGTCGTCGTAGGTCGCGAAGCGCGACGCCGGCGCGGGCGTCGCGCCGTCCCAGCCCGCGACGTCGACGGCGGCGACGGCGTCGCCGTCCATGAGCGCGACGTAGAGCCGCCCGCCGCGCGGCGACAGGGCGATCATCTTCGGCCGCGCGATGTCCACGCCGTCGACGAAGACCTTGTCCGTGCCCGGCGCCGCGACCGCGGGCAGGCTCGCGAAGCGCCGCGCGAGGCCGCCGCCGCGGCCCCGCGCGAGCGCGGCGAGCGGCGCGCTGTAGAGGCCGTGCTTCTTCTGCCCGGACGCGAAGAGCCGCTCCCCGGACGCCGCCACGCCCGTCACGTGCGCCGCCTCGAGCAGGTGGTAGGCGTCGATCCGCGCCGACGTCACGTTGACGACGACGATCGCGTCGAGCCACGAGTCGGCGACGGCGACGAGGTCCTCGGACAGGAACGCCACGCCGATGGGGCCCTTGCCGTTCCCGTCGGCCGTCGCCGCGACGAGCGCCAGCGCCAGCCACCGCATGGCCCTCGTCGGACGGCGGGCGCCCTCAGTGCGCAGCCCGTCCACGGCACATCGTGTAGGTGCAATGACAGGTACAAGCTTCCGTCATATTGAACGTCAACAAGACGGCTCCCGGGGTGTCCGCAACTACGGACTGCGGTCGTCGCAGGCACAACCAGGCCACAATCGGCGAGATTCCCGGTGTCGGTTTACGCGTGGGTTGACGCCCCGCCGAGGCGCGTGGACGCTCCCTAAGCACCCGGTCGTCGCAGGCCCAGCCAGGCCATAATCGGCGAGATTCCCGATGTCGCTTTACGCGTGGGTTAACGCCCCGCCGAGGCGCGTGGACGCTCCCTAAACCCCCCAGAGGCGTGCGGAAGGCGCGTGGGACGGGTGGTATGAGCTTCGTGCTCGGGGTCGGACGTCGTCGCCGGTCGCGGCCGCGCGGTAGCCCACGGCCGCGCCGACGGCTTCCACGTGCGCTAGGGGCGTCCCTCGCACCCGTGGCTTTTCGTCGGTACCCGCACCCGTACCCGAGCCAAGGGTTCTGGGAATTTGGCGGCCCCTCACCCTTACCCTCCCGAGGGTTTCGCGGGTTCTCGGGTCGGCCCCTCGCCCTTGTGTGGCCCTGATGGACGTGATCTGGTTCAGCGCGAGCTGCACCGCGACCCTCACGCCGCGCTCGGGCGCCTCGCCGGTGACGGGCGGCTGCTCGAACTTCTCGTAGCCGTCGAGGAGCGCGGCCCGCAGGGCCGTCACGTTCGCGGCCTTGTACCGCTGGTCGGCGCTCACGCCGCCGTGCGCGTCGATGCCCACGACCGCGGCCGCGGCGGCCGCCGAGGCGAGGCCGAGGACGGCGAGCGGCGCGGCGCTAGGCATCTCGAGGCGTGGAAGGTCGCTCACGCCGGGGGGCTCGAGGCGTGGAAGGTCGCTGACGAAGTGTCGGTTATCCGACGCCCGTCGGGGTTTCGCCGAGCGAACGTCGGCGGGGGGGGGCTCAGACGAGGCCTGGACGGGCGCGAGCGACCCCTGGGAGTTTCGACCCGCGTGAACCCGGCGCGCGAGGCCTCAACAGAGTGATCCGTCGAGGTCGAAGGACGCCTGTTGCTCGGCAAATCTGAGCGAGTCCTCAAACGCCCCCAAATAATTAATTTAATTGCATCAAACTTGAACTCCGTCGAGCAGCCCCTGCGGCGCGACGATGGGCGCAGCCCGGCCACTGCTAGAAGCCAGCCTTGTGAAACCCATGGTGCGACGGCTCGCGAGAAGCTGATCACGTCGCCGAGCAGCGCCCGCGCCGCCACGAAGACGTCGCCACGCTGCTCGCGCGCCGCCGCGCCGCGGATATGAAGCACAGCCTCCTCGTCGGGCTCGCGCTGCGAGCGACGGCGCGGGTGCACTTCTTGCACGTGCCCAAGAGCGGCGGCACGTTCCTGCACCACGTCATCCGCCAGGCCGTCGACGCGCAGGAGGGCTGCGACATCCACGCGAACACGCACGTGAAACTCGCGCGCGACGTCAAAAGGGTGATTCAACGTCGCTTCAACGTGAGTGTTCCGCGCGCGCGCGTTTCGGAAACAGCACCCACGCTTCGAGAGCGCTCCGAGAGATGATCGCTCGTCCAAAAATCAGCCGAAACGAGCGGGAAACGACCGAGATAGGTCAAGCTCGCGCGTCCGCGAGCCCTGCGCGCACTTTCTGTCGGCGCACGAGCACATGAAGCGGCGGCCGGGCCTCCTCGAGCGGCCCCTGCTCGAGGCCGCCGGCGACGCCGCGGGCTTCGCGGCGTTCCTCCTCGCGAACGGCACGAACCGGCGGCCGCCGACGTGCGCGGGCCACGACGCGGGCACGCGGCGGTCGCGCCTCTCGCCGCCCCGCACCTTCGTCGACGGCTGCGTCAACTTCCCCTGGCTCCGGCCCCAGGCCCAGTACTTCTCGCCGCGCGTCGCCGTCGTCTGCGCGCCGCGCGGCGTCCTCCGAAGGACCCGCCTCCGCGACGGTCGCGCGCGTCGCAGGCTACCCGGAGGGCGACCGGCGCGCGTTCCTCGCGCGGATCCGGGCCGCGGTCGCGGCCCTCGGGAGCCCCTGCGTCCTCGCGGACGAGATCACGGACCGCAAGGGCGGCGGCCGCGCGGAGATGAACGCGGGCCACTACGACCGCGCGCTCGACCCCGTCCTCTGCGCGCGCGTCGCGGCCCTCTACCCCGCGGACGTCGCGCTCTGGCGCGCGACCTGCGGGAACGCGTCCGTCCCCTAAGGTGGTGTTAGTCGAGCTTCGCGACGCCCGCGTCCCGGCAGGCGAACCACGTGCCGAAGACGCCGAGGTAGAGGTCGCCGCGGTCCTCGAGGCCGCCGGCCGCGCGCGCGCAGACGACCGCGGCGCCGAAGTCGCGCGCGCGGAGCGGCGGGCCCGGGCCGGCGCGGTCCGGGTCGAGGCGCCGCCGCAGGCCGTCGACGTCGGGCTTCGAGAGCCAGGCGAGCGCGAGGAGC